AAAATTGTCTATCGATTGTATCCCTCCGAGATCTACGTATCTCCCGCCTGTATACATACATATTGGGAATAAGTAAGATGGGAATAAATCAATAATGGGAATTCAGAGGATTTTCACGATACAAGGACGAAATTGGATGTACTCTTCTTACTGCCGAGGGAAGCCGTAATATATATTAACAAGTATAAATAGAGTTTTCTTATCAAATGTAGTTCTTATCAAAAGTTATTGAAATTCTGAAAAAGGGAACGAAACCTCTATGAAAAATCCAGTTCAAGACAGATGTGAAACTTTTACAATAACCAGGACCTTCGAAAAAAGAATAAGAACCAACGCTCTACAGAAAAATATCCTCACGATGAGAAAAAAAATATGTATTAGATGTTGGAAGGAGCAATACATCAAGAGCCTCTGCACAACAATAAATGTTTGAATAATAAGTAAGAAATAGATAGATTAAATAGATTACTAAATCAGATAGATAGATAGATTAAATAAGATGATGCAGAAAAATGGAAAGCGAAGTATCGCAATGACAGAGGTAGACAAGGTGACTTCAGACGACAAAGGATCTATAAGGTCTGTCTGCAGCCAACAGAAAAGAAAAAATATACACACAAATATGCATGCATGTATGTACGTAAATAAGAATGATCATTGTTACAAATATAGGTAAAGTTCTCTTCCCATTTTATATACTATATAATAATAAATTCTGTTCTTTCTAAATTTTTCAAAAGAACATACCTCGTTTAATGTACAAAGGGCTCGGGGTCTTCCTTTGACTTGTTTACTGTAACCAGATTCCACTAAAACTTGTTTGTAAACCGAGAATCTAAAGATAGCGTCTCTAAAATACCTCCATCTATTTATTTCCTAACATCTGACATTTTATTCTGTTGATATAAATTTTTAAAATGTTACTATACTTCCCTAGTCAAAGAACTCCAAAACTTATTTTTTTTTTTTTAATATAATATATCATATATATATATATTGCCATACATATTAATATTGGCCTGTAACTATCGATACCAGGAAAATATCGATCGGACTTGAAATAATATATAATATATTGATTCTCTAAAACATAGGTGCATAAAAAAACATTTCATTTTCCTGTTTAAATTAATTAATGGAAATATCAATTCTTACATTCTCCTTAGTAAAATTAATTTTCTAGTTCCTAACCATCTTCGTCATCCTTAGATTTTTGACTAACTTAAATTTAACCAATTATCCCTTCCATTCATCCATAAATCATATTCAGCGAAATGCTAATTTATTTGCACCCTGCAGAGATTTCTTTGACAAATCGTGGCCTTAGTTTGAGAAGGTTCTAACTAACAAATTTGAGCAAATTGAGTTTATTGAGTGAACAGAGTCCCACGTACGCTATTCAACCCTACATACGAATGGTCTTCGATAGTCGATGTTTATCGAAATATCCATATTTTTCTCTAATTCGCACTACATGCTATAAGAAACGGGCAATATGAGTATTTTTTTTTTTTATTATGCCTAGTGCTTCCAGAAAATGAGTCTTAATTTTCTAGTCGTATCTTTTAGGTTCTCGGTTTCATTTTTTTTTTATAATGTTTTTTATAGAATATTTATAGGTATAATGTTATATCATCGAATGCCTTTTTTCACTTGTTCGACGATATTAAAAGTATTCCTCTTCACTAGTCCTGTATGCGTTAGTGAGCAGGAACACTTCAATATCGTCTATGAAAGAGAAGTGAAAAAACGACATTCGATGAAATAAAAGAATGACAAACCGACGAATTATATTATAATGATATATTTTAAGAAATTTTATGAAGCGGTGCATGTTTCCAGGATCTTGAAAATGGCTCCTGAAGCCGAAACTTCGAATAAATAATACATGATGTAAAAAATGTGTACATTTGCTGACATTTGGCCTAATATTTTATAAAAAAAACTTTATAAAAAAAATAGTATTAATTTTAATTTTAAATGAAAATATTAAAATATCGAAGGGACGATGTCGATAGTCGATAATATCGAAGTAGGTACTATCGATGAATAATATCAAAAATTGGAAGGAAAATATCGATATTTTGATAATATCGATTATCGGTCGCTATCCCTAACATAGAGCAACTTTCCCAAAAGGAATAATCGGTAACGGCGTTTCAAAAAAAGTTGGTGAATACAGACAATGAAGATAGAAATACTATGAGAAGAGAGTGGGACAGAGGTAGTACGATAGATTGGGCGGGTATAGGATTTGGCGGGAGTAACAGCTGATCAATACTCTTTCATGTAATCCAACACCACTCCGGTTATTAATAATCCACGATAACAGCCTCTCCGCTTTAGAGGCATTTCATCAATGGCCTTTCGCTTTCGGCCCTTTTAGATAGAATGCGTATTTGTTTACGTACGTAGCATAATTAATCCGACTCTCTGTATTTCACAGAACTAATGAAACTCAAGCCATTTAAAATTATTATTCCAATAATTATATAAAAAGTAAAAATAATACATTTTATATCTGCCATTAGAATAATATATCATTTTAATTTATTATAACAGTTGCGTCATTACACATATAGATTAACCTATATTTATAATGATGCAACTAAAGCCATAAAATCTTATAGAAGAGATAGAAGATGGTTGACCGTAGATTCTAATTTCAGAAGAAGTTAGTGCGATAAATATATAAAATACTATATAATATAGTAGTATGTTTATTGCGTTGCCCAACGTTTCGAACTACGTTGTGTAGTTCTTCTTCAGGGCATTCAGTCTGGTACTGCAGGAAGCAGTACGGAGCCTGGTAGTTTCCAGTTTTTTACACTTTTTTTTTCGTAATTTAACATGAGACAACATTTTCCGTTGTGTTACAGTTCTTGGTTGTTCCACATCATATATGTCAATAATCGTAAACAATGTAAATAGTCCAGTCGAAATAAAATGTATAATAAATCATTTGTATTTATTTAGTTTTTGCTAATTGCAGTCAAGGAAAAATAACAAAAAAATCTCGATGAATACAAATTCAACTACAGCCATGAACTTGAAAAAAATAAAGAAAAGAGTGGGAATAAATACCTGTTTATATGTTTTTTTTTTACATCAGAACATTCAATCTTAATAAAATAAATAAATAAGACATTATTTTTTTTGTGCGTTTATTATTTCTTGACATAATTACGTTTAGAAAAGTCGCATATCAACATTTGTTTTTATTTATATACACGAACCGTTCACTTATAGTATCCATAAATAAATTTTTAGAAAATTTTCTAGAATTATGGGAGTACGTTGTAATATCGTTTTTTTTTTTTTTTTTTGTTTTTTAATGTTTTGTTATATAGTATATAGGAGTGAATGAGCTTTAAAAGAATTTTATTTATTTATTAAATATTTAATTTATTTAGTTTTTTTTTAAACATTTAACTTACTTTTTTATCTACAGATTTTGTTTCAATTATTTATTGATATATATCTTTTAATTTGTGATGTCATATATATTATTTTATTTATTTACTTATATCAATATACTTTCTTTACTACTTATTATTATTTTCATTTACTTTGTTTTATTTATTGTATTTTTATTTATTTATTTATTATTATTATTTGTTTATATTTTTAATGACTTTAATTTATTTTCTTATATGTACATATTGTACGAATGGTTACTTTAAACTCTAATGTTAAAAAAAAGTTCTGTTATAGAATTAAAGTGATAAAAATTCATCAGAAATGCCACCCTAACAAAATTCAGAAGAGTAATAAGGCGTACAAAAATGTCATTGATGAAGTATAATAACAAAAATCACTGAAAAAGTAAAAACATAATAAAATAAATTATTTATTTTCGGTACGAGCAACATTCAAGCGTTAACTGAACTAAAAATAAATTTTTCATTTTGAAATTGAAATAATAATGCACTTCATATAATAATAAATAAACATTTACCACTGTGACCCATAAATGAGATACGGTTTGATAGTTAACAAGAAGGTACTGTTACATGATGTAATATTATAATGCGAATTAGTTTGTACGCACGTTCAACCCCAACCCAATAAATGATCCATACCAGCCTAGTAGAACTTAAAAGTGTCCTCTGATCTGAGATTTGATAAACGCCTGATACAAGTGATAAATTTTTTTGTAATAATGAGTTATATTCATTGTCTAATAAAAACTTGAGTTAAATATTATTTAGAATTATTTATGTAGAATCGGGACATGTGATTTAGAAAATTTAAATATGCAAATTCGAGAGAATGGCGGATAGAGTAAATAGACGATTGTCAAATTTTTACAGTAAATAATGAAGCAGTTTTATGTATATATTTATATGTAGAGAGAGATACGAGTACATAGATATCGTAAATACTGACTTGTATATTATGGGATTCAATATACAATTTGAACAGAAGGAGGTGGAATATATAAGAGCTTCGATAACATGATATGTGAACGAAACCAATAAGAGCTAGATCTATGGAAAAACCAATTCAACTCGAACCATCATTGTGAAATGTGAGTAGATCTCGGGTACCCGAAAATATATGAAAGAGAAAAATCCATTTCTGTTTATAGTCCAACCATAAACTACACGATAGTCAAAGAGAGGGAAAGTGAAACGGAGGATTGGCAAACGTTTTGAGGAAGAATAGAATTCAATTAAGTATGAGCGAAAAATCAATTAATTTTGTTTTTTAAAAAGGATAATAATAAATAACTCCATCGTAAAGTTTTCAAATTGGTGGAAGTGATAAGGGACATACCATCACTGTACGACAATATATTGCTTATGTTAACTTTTTTGTATATCTTAAAGGTTAGTATCACTTTTTTAAATATTTCTTATTATTTATTGGACACGGTTCTCTCTAGATCTTGCGAAACGATTTCTGTCCTAAATAATCGAGGAATCATGTGAAGTAAAAAGAAAGAAGCAATGACGTGTACATTCCCACGTACAAAAGGTGCCATTTGAAGTTACTATTCACAAACGTTTAACATCTGTAACTGCCTGGAGCGTAACAGAAGTCAAAAGGTTGGCTGGAATGGGAACGCCGTGGAATTCTGGGTGTTGCAACTCTTCTGAAACCGGGCCATTACGTAACTTTGCGGCGTAACATTTTGGCAGCCCCCACCTCTCCGGTAGGCTGGCTGGTAACAGGAGTGGAAAACAGAATGTCATACTGGGGCGGTAGGAAAGTTGTGTGTAGGGAGCTTTGTCTGCTGGAACAAACCTGAAGAGTCAGTGGGAGGATAACGTAAATTGCTAAGGAATATTAAAGCCACTCACCGTTATAATGAACCTTTAACAGAAACCATTTACAGTTCAATTTTTTTTTTTTTAAATTAATACATTCTGCGCATTCATATTAGAGCTACAACAAACATTCACACAATATATACATACAAATATATATTGTATGTATATATTATAACATACGATGTTCTTCGGTACATCGAGGCGGTCTCATCTGTCCCACCTTTACGATGAGTTAAAGTGGCTCTTCCCTTCTTTCCGCAGACAATATTTCCTTGGATCTTTCCTATTCCAAACGATCAACACCAGACACCCTTCCTACATCTACAGTTCAAACCCGTGGTCCACTCCAAGAAAATAAGATCCCGTGTTTCCGACCTTTATATCCCTCCCCATAGAACTAAGACATTTGAATATTCCTTTATTGCCCAATTCACTGCCTTCTGGAATTCCTTGCCATCTGATATCCGCTATGCCTCTTCCTTGTCCTGATTTAAATATCATCTCTACCAATTCCTCCTCACATCCCAAAATGACGATATACAATAAAATAAATATTGCGAAACGGATTTTGACCGAGGTGAATGGTTGTTAAAATTGATTGAGTTTTAATTTTAAAAATCAGCCCATGCTTCCATTATTTTGTTTTGTTTTTCATTTAAATAATGTTTTTGTTTTTTTCAAATGGTGTTATTTTTACTTGTTTTGATATACTTTTACTGAGATACTGTATATTTTCTCTAATATTGATTAATGTAATTTATGGCCAGATGTAGTTTTTATTTTTTTGTTGATAACTGTTATTCATAAGGGACCTCGTTCCAGAATAAATTTTACTTTCTATCTATCTATCTATACAAATGATAACTAAAATACAGATAAAAGAAAAAGAGACGCTTAGGACTTAAGTGGAGAATCTAGTCATTGCCAGTACTCCAATATATACATATTTACAAAAGGTCGCGGGGTCACTGCCGTTTTAACCTTCGGGGAGGATTGTAGGGATGGCTGGAGCTAGATAGGGATTGTGCTACAGGATTTGGACGATGAGTGAGTTTCTGGTGAAATTTGTCTGGGATTAGGTCAATAACAAATGGGATATGAAGATCATTATGGAGGGTTTTGTTGGATACATAGAAGGGAGCATCGACTATTGTTAGAAGGTTTTGTTGAGGTCCCACAGCTCTAGTTCGTAGGTCCAGATAGGTTTCAGGATTGTCTTGTAGATTAGTAGTTTGTTGTCGACTGAGAGTTGAAATTTTCTATTCATTAGTCTATATAGCTGTACGGTTTAATTATTGCTATTTATTCCTCCCCATGAATATTTATTTTTCTTATTTATATTTGTCTTTCTTTAACCTGTTACCTATATATACTTTATTCATTACAATCTAGTTTTTTAATTTTGAATTTTTATTAATATTTGGCTATAGTTCCGTGGCTAGCTACGGATTTTTGATCTTCTGAAATAATCTTTTCTATTTTTTAATGAATTGAAATAATCGATATTGAAGTTTATGATTCATTAAAAAGTACTAATAGCAATTTGATTATTTAGTTATGATTAACTGCAATTCTAAATACGTATTCTACTTCCGACAGTTAATTAAAATACATATGAGCTTTTCAGTTGACAGAATAACAAACACCAAGTTCAACATTATTGAGTAAAATCATATTAGTAATATTTCAGTTGGAGAAAATATAATTTCTGTACAGACAGTAGAGTAAGTTGATACCAGAGTAGGTGATTACAGTGTTCAAATATAGAACTATGAATAAACGTACAAATTTTCCCACAAGAAATATTACTAAAATTAATAATCAAAAATATTGAAACTGGAATTAGTCATTCTGTCAATTGAAAGGCTCATATCCATGACAATGAACAACACTGAAATTAAGACGTACATAGTGGCTTTTTGCACACTATAGCTAAACAAAACACTTACTTTTATAACCTTGCAAGTATATAGAATATGACTTTCACTTAATTAGTTTTATCAACCATCTGATCAAATAATATAGTGAAAGAAGTCATTAAGTACTAGAAAGTGCATTTTGGTGTTATACTAATAATTAACTGAAATTATCGACAAAAAATAACTCAAAAATTAAATCGTTAGTTCAACGGTCTATGCTATTTGTGAAAAAAAAAACTTCTAAAATGTCAAAAATAACGAGTTCAAATTATTAAATATTTTAAGCCCATTAGAGCACAGGAATTATATCTTGAAAAAAATACAACCTTCAAATCCACAAGTTTTTGAAAGGCGAATGAGAGAAATTATAATCCAATTTATTTTGAACATATTCTTGACAATCCTAAGAATTATAATGATATGGTTGTGAAATTTCCTAAATCGAAATATTTTTTCAAACTGAGCAATCATGAAAAAATAACTACATAAAATGAAATTTGGGAAACGAATAAAAAATTATTAATCTATATTTCTTTCCCATGCTTTTTTTAATTAAAAAAAACATTCCATGATATATTTCTGACATTAATTTATCAAAATTCGGGGTTTGGAGAAAGAAAACAAGTAGTCCTCTAGAAGAGACTTCTTCAATTTCAAATTAATTGTATGATTTTTTTTCAATACTCTGAAAACATCAGTGACAAAAACAAGTTTTTGCAAAAAAAAAAAAAAAAAAAAAAAAGGAAATGCAGAATTATACACAGACATTTCTAAATTTTGAAAGTTTTTTGAAATTTACTCCTAATCCTGTTATATTTTTCAGTATAGGAAACTATCACACTCAACAAATTCAACTCATTATATTCGAAGAGGTTCACTGATATGTGTTCCAGTATAGCAAAAAAAAAACTTTATATATATATTCGAAATTCCAGAGAACCCCAAACCGTATTCAAGAATTTAGGAAACTGATAAAATGCACCAAAATTCCCTTATCAATATCACGTCATTCATTTAAAAAGTATTTCATACAGCATTATAACTTTTCAATTTATTTTTTTAATAATTGATTAAATTAAAAAATTAGCTGATAATTTTTTGTTACTACTGTTTATTTACTTTGTGATTATTATTTATGTACCTCTGAGGCTCCTTAGACCACATTTCTGTATTTTTGTATTATTCTAAAGGGACTCGTCTCAGAATAATTAAAGCATTAATATTATTATTCTTTATTTTTTAACATGTACACAAAAAAGGTGTTTTCCTGAAATGGGGAAGAGTTAACTTCAACCACATTACGTCAATTTTTGTAGTTAAATAATTTGTTAGATATTTAGGAATCTCAGTCCATTGCTAATGATCACTATGATTATTATTATTTAAGAGAAGGATGGTTGGGTTAATCATTCAAAATAAAATACTAAAAATAAGTAATTATATTTATTTTCACATTCGCCGACGTTTCGGCCCTAAGTTGAAGCATTCATCAGGGCTGCTCTACTAAGAAGCGTAGATAGACTAAAAAAAACAACAACCTCAAAACACTTAACAAAAAACATTAAGGATGAATTATTCTTAAATAAATCCAACCCTGAAGTAAAAAAATGTTGAGTAAAAACTTTTTAATATTTATTTTAATTTTTTTGCAATGTAACTTTACAATAATATACCTTTTAATTATGATAATATATGTCTATCTACGCTTCTTAGTCCAGCAGGGTTGAACTTCACGCCGAAACGTTGGCGAATGTGAAAATAAACACATTTATTTATTTTTACTATTTTATTTTGATTGATCACCCCAACCACCCTTCTCTTCAATTATTCCATAGTCAACCATCAACACAAAATTATTATTATAACATGTCAACATAATATTTCAAATTTTTCAAGAGATGGTGTTTTTAAATAAATTAGCATAGGTCTAAAAATTAATATTTATTTAGGAACGTTTACTACCAATTGGAATACATTTAGGTTTTGTTTTTTTCAAATTATTGATCGGCAATATTTGAATTGGTATTGAATAATCGATATCAAAATAATCGAATGAAGACATCAAATAAAAGAAGGGAGGATGTGACGCAATTGTAGAGAAAGCAAAGGAGTACAACTTTCTCTCTCGCTCAGGGAGGAAGAACAGGAACAATACCTCAAGATTGAAATGGCAATGGAGGAGCTTATTGACATAAATAATAATATAAATACAACTAGATAATTATTATTATTACTTAATTAATATAAAGAAAAAAATTAATAAATAGTAGATATTTATTTTTAATGAAGCAAAAGTCATATTTATTTATTTTTCATTCTAATATAACTAACTTAAAAATTAATATAATAGAATAATAAAAAGTGTTACTTAGAAAAAAATATATAACATTGTTTTTTGTCAGCAGAAAGAGATTAATTCTATAAATCCCAATTAAATCGAAAGAACGTGCCTCGGAATAAGGATGGGTATAATTTTGTTGTTTGCGAAATCGTTCAAGATCCTCTCTTTACGAAATTCTGGTCACGTTTCTAAAACGGACGAAATTCGATTTCATCGAGGAAATTATACGCGGATATTGCAAAATTCAAAACAGACATTGAACAATGATAAAATAAAACTTTAATTTTTCCTCATTAAAATGCTGAAAATACGTATTAAAAATAAATTTAATTCTTTTTATTTTTTTTCAGAATTAGATGGATAAAAAACATTAATAACAAAGTACATATATTATTAAATTATTCAAATTCAATTATATTTTTAATACTTTTTTCTTTTTGATTTTTTAAAAAAATATTTAATGTTGGCTAAATATTTTCTGTTATTATAACAACTTATAATAAATCATCTATAAACAGTTCATTTATTATTTTTCTTATATAATTAATTGTTTGAGATAATGAAATTTTCAAAAGTTTAAAAGTAGTTTTGAACCTGCCTAATATTAAACTTTTTTTTAAAATTGTTTGAACACCTGTACCACTATTACTAATGTCCTTAATCGTTACAAAATGTAATATGACTCGATAAAAATAGTTATTTT